TTGGTCTCATTCAGTGACCTATAGTTAGGTCAAGCGGTGGTACCGCTAGAACGTATCAAGTGTACATTTTTCGAAAGACCCGACGATGGTATCTCCCAGACTGGTGGTAGTATCACTAGTACATGGTTTCCCATAAAGTCTAGCGATAGTACCGCCCAGACTAGGTGGTAGTACCATTAGTTGTAAGGGGTACAGGTGGTGGTACCACCCAGTACTAGTGGTAGTACTACTAGTATCCCTGAAACCAGGGATGAGACATTTTTTGGCTCCATTTTTGAAGTCATTTAGGGTCTATAAATATCTCACTCTTTTTTGCTTGAGAAAACAAGAAAAGTGAACAAAAACTCTAGTGATTCTGAATTGTAAAGCTTTGAAAAGTGCTAAGTGTCTCCTCCTCTTTAAGTTTTGGGCTTATTCTAATAGATGTGTGAGACTTATAAATGTTCTCTCCTAAACATGTAAAAAGGAGAAAGAGTTGTAAAGAGGGTAGTTAGTCTCCGTCCATTGAAAGAAGATCATTAGTGAACATCGATGGCCTCGACGGAAGATGAATCGAGAGTGAACATAGGTCGCGATGACCAACCACTATAAACTCGGTGTACACTTTCTTCCTACTTTTCATTGTCATTACTTATTGATTCAATTATCTATTACTCTCACTTGCTTTCTAAGTTTAAATACTTTCCGATACAAGCTTTATCGAATACAAATTTTAAATCAAGGTTTTTACGAAAGCATTAATTCATCCTCTCCTAATGTCGATACGGTCCTACTAATTAGTATTAGAGCCAGGTTTGCTTGTTAGGGTGGAAGTGAAAAATAAATTTTAGCATTGATGCTCTACATATAAGGCATGGGCAATTGTAGCTATAAAAACACTTACCAAGTTTATTTCCTTAGAGGACTTGGATAAGAAGAAATAATATTTGAGAAATTACATAATTAAGTATTCTTGAAGGAAGGAGTCTCTTATTAAATCTCAGATTTTGATGATAAAATTAATTGATTGATGAGTTTATGATCTAATCTGTATTTTAAGAAAAATAATGTATGATTAACTTTGATAAAAAAAAGTAAAACGATTAAAGCAAAAAGAATCAAACGTTGGGACGGAGTCAGAAATCAGACATCGGGCCGGAAGAATCGGACATTACGCTAAGATCAAATGTTGCGGGAGACAACATGCCGATAGATCGGGTGATACGTTGAAGGTTCGAACGACACGTCGAAAGTTCGTTGGGAGTTCGGATGAACTAACAAC